GTTGTAGTTGTTGTTTATATAGTGAAAATCTAGGGAAAGCTAGTGTAGAGTTACATCAGGTTAAACTAAAACTACTGTTGCCTGAACAAGGCAGAAAGAAATAAACAAGAGGAATGTATATGGATTATTTGATACTTAAGGTTACAAAACATTATTATCCCCTAATTCAAATGTAGGAAGGTGGTACAGCAAAGAAAAGTATCTTATTACTACAGCCGTCCATTTCTTTTATACTATTTTTTGGGTTGTAAAATATTTTATCTTTAATTCATCAGAGGAGCATGACACTGTCTCCTGTGATCCTGATCTAACCACAGAGCTTTCACTGACTAGACAGTAGACGTTGTGGGTTGTAGAACAAGATAAGAAACAACATCCAAATGACATATGTGCTGAGCAACAGAAAACAAAAAATGCATTAATTTTAACCTCTCCATGTACTCTTTGAAAAACAGGTTTTACAAGAGAATATTTTAATAATTTGTTGTTCAAAATCTATTGAGTTTCCTCTCCTCCTCCATAATCCCTAGGAAGAGGAGTTTATTATTTAGTAGTTAGTAAGGTTGATATTTAATGAGAAAGCAGTTCTAAAAAGTGGATGGATTTTAAAGATCTCAGCATGAAGAAGTTGAAGTATTAAGGGCAACAGCTGCCTGTAAACGATTGCTGTTAGCTGAAATTTACATAGTAAAGAGCAGAAAACTTCTAGATTACTTCATTCTTAACATTTTAATGCTCAAACTATAAGACAATGCAACACTTCAAGTTGGTGACTTTTAAGTTTTATTTTTCAGGAATGCATTGAAGGCAAATGAATAAGCTTATATGTCTACCAAAAACACCATAAGAAAATTTTTATGCAACACCATTCTTAGCTAATGTGCCAGTTTTTCTCAGAATACACAATCAGATGCTATTTTTATGAATTTCACTGTCTCTAACAGAGGTTGCTTAAAGGGCTCATGGAACAAAGTGTTGAGGTGTGGGTATACTTTTAATAAACCAAGGGACATGATGACTTGTGGGCAAACTACCAACACAGCTTATGTGGTGTGTATTCATTTAGTGTTTGCTATGTTCAAAATGCTGTGGAGGAAACATTGAAGATATGCAACCTGGCTAGTGGCTTCGAAAAATCTTAGATCTAGACTATGCTTTGGAACAATTGAGTGGCACGTTTACATATCAACATAAATAAATTCAATTTCAACAAAGCAGACAGAATCCTGAAATAACTTGAAAGGAGTCTTTGAGTGTGATTTTATTATGAGTTTAACCTACTTTAGAAATGAAATCTGGTAATGAAAACTGAAAACCTTTTTCAGCTCTCAGAATTTTATTTTAGGTCACTGTTAAGATATAGATTTTTTTTTATTAAATAAAAAATAACTAATTTTTAATTTGATTTTAGAGAATATTGAGAGTAAAATCACTTATAATTCCAATAACCAGAGAGAATTGCTTTTTATTCTATCCTTTGTATATGTTTGTATATATACATGTTCATATATACATGTGTGCACTAACATATATAATTTATTAATTTGTAAAATTTGCACATACTTTTGTAACCTGATTTAAAAAAATATGGCGTTAAGTTTTGCCTAAAACTGCCTCTGTATATATTTTAAGTTCGGCCTAAAGATTTCCCCATACATTAACTTGATGTATAAATGGACTGTAATTTATTCTTGTACCAATCACAGAGTTTTGGCCAATCAAGGGCAGCCAGCTGTTAAACAGTGTTCAAATAGGGCAAATGCCAACTTGTAACATATCCAGCTGTTTCTGTATGTCACTTTTGTTTTCTGTATGTCACTTTCTTTTTTCTGTCCAGAAATGTTATCCAACCATGTGGCAACTCCGGAGTCACTCAGAACCTACTCTGCCTCTAGAGACTGCCCAACTTTTAAATCGTTTTTTTGCTCACTTAAACTCTGTTACATTTAATTTGTCTAAAGTTTTTATTTTAACAGAGGCAGTGTTCATAAATATTTTTGTATGTCACAAAATAAAAATTCTAATATAATTTAAAATGACTAAATTAAAACAAACTTATTGTGTAGTTGTTACATAATATATATAACTAACTTACTGTTGGACTTCCGATTGTTTCCAATGCTATGATGGACATTCTTGTGTTTGTGCTACATCCTTAGGGCAGATTTTTTTTTTTTTTTTTTTTTTTAAGACAGGCTGGAGTGCAATGGTGTGGTCTCGGCTCACTGCAACCTCTGCCTCCCAGGTTCAGGTGATTCTCCTGCCTCACCCTCCGAGTAGCTGGGATTATAGGCACCTGCCACCATGCCCGGCTAATTATTTTGTCTTTTAGTAGAGATGGGATTTCACCATGTTGATCAGGCTGGTCTCGAACTCCTGACCTCAGGTGATCCACCTGCCTCGGACTCCCAAAGTGCTGGAATTACAGGCATGAGCTACCGAGCCTGACCAGGGAAGATTCTATATATATAGTCTTCTTGGATCAAAGGATATGTCCTTTAAGGTTTTTCACATGTATTGCTAATACCATAAAGCTTGTGTATTTGTATCCCACAGTTTCCTGACCCACAAAACAAGGAATGTATGTCCATTTCCATGAAATCTTGACAACATAGGGAATTGTCATTAAAAAGTACCCAAAGTCGTTTATAGAGTATTTGATGAAAAATGATTATTTTATTGTTGGAGTTTTTGTTTGTTTGATTAGTAAGGAGGTTGAGATTTATTATATGTTTTTGGTTATATGTATTTCTTCTTTCATATATTCTTTGTATAATTCGCTGATTTTTCTTACTTTATATTTATTTTTCCTGCTGATTTATAAGAGCTCTTATTATATTAATAACACTAACCCTTTGTCACACAAGCACTCATTAGACAAACAAGGGATGATGAAATCATATTTCTGTTATTTTTACTTAATGTTATTTCAAATGTGCATTTCTGTGAACTGATACAAATCACAAACTTGTCCTTTAGAAAGCTGTTTAATATTACATCTCACATGTATATTTTCCAATTTAAACAATGTATAGACACTTTCCAAAATGTTCTTGGACATCCTCAGTGTTGAAGTAGTATTTTTATTAAGAATGTAATGAAGAAATATGCTAATATCAAACTAGGTTTGCACTCCTTTGTTGTAGGATCTAGGCAACTGTAAAACCATGATAAATTAACAATAAAAATACAAAAAATCTGTGACACTAATACCATTCATATTAACAATCAATGATGCTGCTTTGCTAAATGAAGCAATTTCTTAAAACATTAACATGGTGCTATTAGTGTGCATTTTGAGTTCTGCATTATTATTCTACCTTGTAGGGTGTGAATATTCAGTTATTCTGTGACTTTTCTGTTTGAACTATTGTGAATCTTTCATGAATACAGGGTATGAATTTGGTCCTCACTTGGGAATAATTTACCCAGTGATACTAAATTAAAAGATGGTCATAGGTTATTGAAAATATGTTTATATTAATTCCTTTAGATTTTTATCTAAATATAAACCAAAAGTTTAAAATTTTTTATAGAACACGCTTAAACAGTAGTTTGAGAAACCTCTAATCCAGATCAAAGTTATCTTTGCTCTTCACCTAGACTTAGGTATTTGGGTTGATAAATTTGCAGGAAATAATATAGAAATGTAAGAGGGGGAAGTGGATCATGAAAGGTTTTATCTTGACAAAAATGATTATTGGAAATCTTTGATTTAGACAAAGTCAACTCATTTCTTAATCCTATAACAATTTGAGCATACTTTTACTTCTATACTTTCCATGTCACATTATGATGTATTACGTGTGTTCAAGATAGATCATGAACTCCTGTAGAAGCTAACTTTGTATCACTGTATCTCCAGCATCTGAGTCCACCTACCTCGTTTTAAGTGCTTACAAATGTTTATTTTGTTGAACCACTATATACTTATTGTAATTGTTAACTTATATGTTTTCTGTTCAGAAATGTAATCTGACCATGTGGCAACACTGCAGTCACTCAGAACCTATTCTGGCCATTGTAACTCTATTTATTTTTGCTTTGTACATTTTGAGGCTATTAGATGAATTACCTATAAATTTGGAATTCTTAAATCTTATTATAAATAAAAACTTTACTACTGTGTAATTATTCCATCTCTAATGATACTTTTTGTCCTAAAGTCTATCACTAACCTCAGCTTTAGCCTGAGGCACAAAGCTGATTTTTTTTTTTTTTTAATATAGAATCCATCTCTTTTTGTTTTTTACATGGCAAATCTAAACTACTTACACCATTGTGACCAATGAAATATATGAACTCGTGGCTTTTATCTAAATTTTGCTCTGTTTTACCTTTAGATATTTTAGTTGTTTTTCTCATTTTTTATTGAATACATTTTTTAATTTGTTAATTTATTTTCTTCTTATTTTTTCCCTGAATCAGTGTGAAAACTCTTGAAATTTTACCATACATGCTTAACAAAATCTAAATATCTTAACCTTTCCTCCAAATGATACAAAGACTTTAGAACAATTTAATCCTGATCACCTACCTTCCAAACATTGTGTCATTGATGTCCTGTCCTGTATTTTAGTTTGGTTCTTTAATTATTATAGGATTTAAAGTAAATTAAATGAATTACTATAATAATATTGTAGCAATTTTTATAGTAATCCTAAGAACCTCCTGAAACTGGTGGTAGTATTGCCTCATTTTAAAGATGAAGAGACTGAGGCGCAGGGAGGCTACGTGTTCTTGTCCCAGATCACATGGTCATTAAGTAGCAGAGCTAAGGCTTGAGCCCAGACTTGGTGCCTCCAAAGGCTGTGCTCCTTCTATCATTCCAAACTGCCCAAGGAATGAACATTAGCCAGTGTGGGCGCCTCAGCCTCCATCCATGGGTTTCACATTTCTTTTTAGACTGGCTAATATAGAAAAAAAAATTTCATCCATTAGTATTTTGTAATAAATGTCTTTTTAATTTGAATATAAGAAGTTTTTCCTTTTGTGTTTAGGAAAGTGCTTTGAATCAGTGGATTTATAATATTTTTGACGTCTAATAATGGATGGAAAAAAATGGATGTTGGCATCATTTCTACCACAGCAACAAGAGCAAAGATGGTATATTTTGAAGATTGCATGCTACTTCAGTCTATTCAAAATTTCTGGGGAAATATTTTGATATACTTAAATATTTTTCATTTAAACATTTCATTACACTTTCAATATTTTGTATTAAAAGTAACTCAAATTATATTTAATTGTTTGTTGATAAAGCTGTTGAAGAAACTGAAATTATACTAAATAGTTTTAATGTTTTTTGGCTTTGTGTTTTTCTCTTGATTTAAAAAGAGTTGTTACAGAAGAAACCTGACAATAATAGGTGATATTGAGGCATATAGTAACCTCTTAGTTTTCTTTTCTGAAGATCTTTGAGGTGGTTTCTGGTACAGAAAGTTAACAGTAAACTCTGTACCAGGAAGCACTAGTGCACACTTGCTTTAAGTTATTTTAAAGACAGTGCTTGTTGTTTACTTGACTTTTTGAAAATACAATATATAGAATGAGGAATCCTTGAGGGATGCTATATGAAGATATCCACTGATATTTTATAAAAGTTTTGAAAGTTCGGGGTTTGATTCTATTTCTTCTCAAGTCTAGAGTTTAAAAGTAATTTAAGAACGAAACAAAAGTCTCTACAGGGACCTTTTAGTTTGTAGGCTTACCGATAACATTTTGAAAAACTCTATTTCTATTAAGCACTGCAGTTTTTCATTAGATTTCAATAGCCCTTTTTCTCTTTCCCTCTGACACGTTGCAAGTAACAGATCTGTACAATTGGAATGTAACACTTTACTGTGGCTTAGCATTAATTGTCTCTCTTAGCACAGGCAAATAGAATTTAAAACAATGCTTTGAAGAATATTAACATGAAGTGCAGCCTTTTCACTTTTCAGTCATGCAGAGAAGTGATTTCGAAGTGACATTAACTTTCAAATAAAATTCTTTTGAGGAACCTTATAATGCTCACCCCTCCCCTCCTTTTTTTGGTCTTTGGAAGACTTCCTAGCTATAATTTTTGACAATCTTTAGGTGCATTCATGTTTTTAGATTGCTTCACATAAGTCAAAATAACTTGGTACTATAGAGCCTTAAAGTTTAATACTAATGGTTTTAAATAATGCTCTTTTTGAAAACCATGTTAGACTTTTCTATTAACTTTTATCATTATTTGCCTTGGAGAAGCATCTTAAAGAGACTTTCATAAAGCCACTGCTTCTCTAATCTATTTAAATCTCTTGCATCTGTGAATTTCATATTTGATTGTACTTCTAACTCAATGCCAAGTTATATCTAAAAACTTTTTTGTTTTGAAAGAAGTTTGTTGTTTGTAATTAATTTTTGAAAGTAGTTTTGAGTAAATTTGAAGTAATTTTAGTAAAATGAATAAAAGTAAATATGAGTAATTTTAAATGAGCCATATAGAGTATTGGGAAAACTATTATATGCATATTTTCCCCTGCTTTTGCATGTAGGACTCCAGAAAGTCAAAACATCAAGGAATATTTGCCATTTCTTTAGGAATCTCATGATTTTCCCTTTTTGGAACTTCTGTCAACATGTAAGTGGATGGTGCATTTATTTAAGATCACTGGTAAATCTTAGTAATACTTCATCTCCACTACTGAAAATAACAACGGTTTTTTTATTTCATATGATTCTATGAGGCTTCTGGATGGTTCTTCTGCTACATGTTGTGTCGGCTGGGGTTCCTCAGATAGGTTTGTGCACTTGGCAGATGGTCTAGCATGCAAGATCATCTGCACCTGTCTTATGTCTGGGACTGCGGTGTTGACTGTTGGTTGGGGTGACTCAGTTATCCTCCATGTGGCCTTTGTCTTCTGGTAGTATTTTTTGAGAGCAAAGCTGCAAACTAGTACAGCATCATTTTTTTACCATATTCTATTGGTCAAAGTAAGTTACCCAGTTTCAAGGTGGTGGAAATCGACCCTACCTCTTGATGAGAGAAACAGCAAGTGCAATTCTAGCATATTCTAGAGACATATCCTTCATGAGATCTATGATTTGTAATTCTGGGGGTGGGGGCAATGGTTTCTTAGCTATGATAGCAGAAGCACAAGCAACGATAAAAGGTATATTGGATTTCATCAAATTTAAAAACTTTTGTGCACTAAAGGATTCTATCAAGAGACTGAAAAGGCAAACTACCAAATGGAAGAAAATATTTGCAAATCATGTATATGATAAAAGACTTTCAATCTAATATATAAACATTTTTTACAACTTAACAAAAAGACAAACAACCCAATTAAGAAATGGTCAAAGGACTTGGTAGAGATTTTTCCAAAAGAGTTATACAAATGGCACATGAGCATGTGAAAAGATGCTCAACATCATAAGTCATTAGGAAAATGCACATCAAAAGCATAAGATACCACTTCACACCACACATAAGTTTTGCAAGGATGTAGAGAAATTGGAACCCTCATACATTGCTAGTGCGAATGTAAGTGTGAATGTAAAACCATGTGGCTGCTTGGAAAACAGTTTGTCAGATGTTTAAAACGTTAAACATAGATTTACCATATGACTTCTAGGTATATATAACTGAAAGAATTGAAAACAGATGTAAAAAACTTGTACACAGATGTTCATAGAAGTACTATTCATAACAGCCAATAGATGGAAACAGTCCAAATGTCCATCAACCGATAAACAGATAAATAAAATGGGCATCTTCTATAAGACAGAATATTATTCATCCATGAAAAGGAATGAAGTACTGATACCAGCTACAACATGGCTGAGCCTTGAAGACATTACGCCAAGTGAAAGAAGCCAGATACAAAAGGCCACGTATTGCGTGGTTCCATTTACATGAGATATCCAGAATAGGCAAAATAGAGACAGAAAGCAGGTTAGTTAATTACCAGGGAGTGGCTAGGCACAGCGGCTCACACCTGTAATCCCAGAACTTTGGGAGGCCAAAGCAGGTGGATCGCTTGAGCCTGGGAGTTCAAGACCAGCCTGGGCAACGTGGCGAAACCCCATCCCTATTAAAGTACAAAAATTAGCTGGGCGTGTTGGTGCATTCCTGTAGTCCCAGCTGCTCGGGAGGTTGAGGCAGGAGAATTGCTTGAGTCCTGGAGATTGAGGCTGCAGTGAGCCAAGATTGTGCCACTGCACTCCAGCCTGGGTGACAGAGCAAGACCTTGTTTTTGTTAATGTGAAAAAAAAAAAAAGAAAGAAAAATACCAGGGACTGAGGGAGAGGAGAAAATGAGGAATAACGGGTATGAGATTTCTTTTTGCAGTGATGAAAATGTTCTGGAACTAGAGATAATAGTAATGATTGTCTGACATTATGGTATTATTAAATGCCAGTCAGTTGTACACTTTGGAATTGTTGAAATGGTGACTTTTATGTTCATGTTTTACCACAATAAAATAAAGCTATTGGGAAACTGGACTTGCTTGGTCTTGTGCCTCAACCATGAGAACATACTCAGGCTAGTCAGTGGGATGTTAAAAAAAGTGGAGCTAAATTGAATCTCCTCATCTGCACCAGCTAAAGCTATTCTAAGTTGCCAGATGGTCATCTAACACCAAAATATATGAAAGTGTTGGGCCAAGATCAGCAGAACCACCTGATCTACTCCTAGGTGACTCTAAATGTGTTAGCAGTAGATGCTTATCATTTCATGCTGCTGAAATTGTGTAATTTGTTTTACTGCATTATTGTGACAATATGACTAATATATCTAATACCATTACTCATTAAAAGAAATCAGGGCTTCTCAGAGAAATAGATGATTTGAAGACTCGGGTAAAGAAGGTGAAAGGTAGATGTTCAACATCTCATATACAGGGAATCTTTCAAGGAATAATGAGGTTGACTTAAAAGGACACAAAGTTCTGGAGTTGGATAGTAGTCATGGCTGCACATCGGCATGAATGTACTTAATGCCACTTAATTGTACACTTAAAAATGGTTAAAATGGCATTGTTTTTGTTGTTTGTTTTGAGACAGAGTCTTGCTCTCTCACCCAGGCTGGAGTGCAGTGGCACAATCTTGGCTCACTGCAACCACCGCCTCCCAGGTTCAAGCAATTCTCCTGCCTCAGCCTCTGGAATAGCTGGGATTACAGGCGTCTGTTACCACGCCCAGCTAATTTTTATATTTTTAGTAGAGATGGGGTTTCACCATGTTGGCCAGGTTGGTCTCCAACTCCTGACTTCAAATCATTCGACCACATCAGCCTCCCAAAGTGCTGGGATTCACAGGCGTGAGCCACCCCACGTGACCAAAATGGCAAATTTTATGTTATGTTATTTTACCACAGTTTGAACAAAGGACACAGAAACCAGGTGAAAGGGATTCCTGCTGGTCAGCTATTTCAATATGAGCATTAAATTTGAGCCTCAAAAAATAATGATCGTACTATATTAAAACATATCAAATGTGTGAAAATCTTGAGTCCATAATTACATTAGAAATAAAACAAAAAGCAAGCTAAAATGATTGGTGGTTACCAGAGGCTGGGAAGGATAAGGCGGAGGAGTGGGAATAAAGAGAGATTGATTAATGAGTACAAACATACAGTTAGATGGAAGAAATAAGACCTAGTATTAGATAGATTAGTGGGATAACTGTAGTTAACAATAATCTATTATACATTTCAAAATAGCTAGAAGAGAATAATTTGAATGTTCTTTACACAAAGATAAATATTTATGGTGTTGGATATCCCAGTTACCCTGATTTGATCTTTACACATATCAAAATATCACATGTACCCTGAAATTATGTACATCTGTTATACATCAATAAAAAAACCAAAGTGAGAAAAACATTCATTCATCAACAATCGAGGTGACTATTATGCCAACATAAAGATTCAACATTAAGGGATCACAACAATGCAGGATCCTGCATTAGGTCTTTATTTAGTTAAGACAGATGTAAATGCCATTTTCTGGGACAAATGGAGAATTTTTGGGGAAAACATATAACCACATGGTAGAGATTGTTAATTGTCTTCAAATAGTCATTTTTTTTTTCTTTTCTTCATTTAGATATAGAACTCCTTGAGTTTTAGCAGCAATCAGACCTCCCAACTAGAGACTACATTTTCCAGTCGTCTTGTAGCTTGGGTTGGCCATGTCATTACTTTAAATTTTGTAAAAATATATTTTACATACAGTATTTCTTGTTATTCTTTGATTAATTTGGAAAGTAGAAAGCTAAACCTTAGTTATATAAATGGTGGTCTACAGAATAATATGTTCCAAGTGTGTAGCTTGCTGATGAAGTGGCTTAATACAGGGTAATACCAACTAAGGTAACCACAGGGAGGAAGTTATGATATCTTTTAGATCAGTGTTTCAAACTGAGTTCTGTAGATGTCAGGACAGAAGAGGGTCTCTACAAATGTTTAATTTGAATTTGCTTTAAATTTGTTTTAATTCATTTATTCATTCATTCATTTTTTTCAAATTACAGATTCAGGGGTACATGTACAGGTTTGTTACAAGAGTCTATTGTGTGATGCTGAAGTTTGGAGTACAATTGAACCCATCACCCAGCTAGTGAGCATGATATTGAATAGGTAATTTTTTAGACTTTGTCCCCCCGCACTCTTCCCCCTCTTGTAGTCCCCACTGTCTGTTGTTCCCATCTTTATATCCATGTGTACCCAATGTTTAGCTCCCACTTATAAGAGAACAAGCAGTATTTGACTTTCTGTTTCTACATTAGTTTGCTTAGGATAATGGCCACCAGCTACATCCACGTGGCTGCAAAGGACCAGGTTTCATCCTTTTTTGGACTGCATAGTATTCCATAGTGTGTATGTACCACACAGTTTAAATATTTTTAAAACAATATTTTTAAACCACTTTTGAAAAGCAACTGTTATAAAATATTTTACTGATAGTGATGAGAATTCTGAGGATGCAGTATGACAACTGCTATTATTTGAGATTAATTTCTTGTGTGATTTAGGGTTATCTTAATATTTGCCACTACAACAAAATACAAAGACTGATTGGATGGTAAGGCTGGTGTAGCTACAGCTGACAACTATAACCACTAATTTAAAGATTTGGGGAGTCCATCTGAACAACGTTATTTTCTTTGAATATGAACTAAACTTATATTAATAAAACACTATTTTATGTGTTAGAGTTGAGTGCAGAATTTTATTTGACAAGACGGTTTATTACTAAATGAAATTTGAAATCTACTCAGATTTTCCCTGTAGAATAGCGATTGTCTGCACTGGGTTTTGGACAGGAATCACCAGGCAGATAATATCCCATTTAGGTGGATAGCCAGTGTCTGATAAAAGGGCACTTTGCTGTTGATGGAAAGAAGATCGATATACTCTATACATGGAGCATGGACAGTGAAGTTGCTGGTCAGAGCCTAATTTATATTTAAGGGTTAATTAAGGGCTACCCCACATTGCTGCATTTGGGCACAGGAGTAAGGACAAAACTTTCCTTATATTAACTCTGGATCCCTTCAGGTGCTAAATAGAGTCTGCTTGAAGGCTGAGAGTTTTGTGTCTTAAAGATAGAAGAATATCCTTCCTTGAATATTTTTGAGGCCACAAATGGTTAAACACCTACATTTATCACTATAACCTTAACATTAATCAACAAATACCAGTTTCTTTGGATGAGATTGTGTCTTGATCGTTCCTCTAAAAGTAGGTCTCTGTAGAGCAGCAGTTTTTACCATTATCTGGAAGGTTGTTAGGAATGTAGAATGTTAGGCATTACCCCAGACCTATTGAATCTGAATGTGTGTTTTAAAAAGATCCCCAGGTAATTCATAAGCATATTACCTTTTGAGAACCGCTTCATAGCAAAGCGAATTCTGAGGCAATTCATTGAATTAATTAGCTGAATAGAGATTTTAAAAATATTGTCTCCTTTGATGACTCAATTCACAGTTTGGGTTTAATTATCAATATTTAAATGTTTTCCGGTCAATATCTGCCTAATAGTATGAGCTTTCCTATAGCCAGGAGCACAGTCTACTATAGAATTTGGTTATGGAAATTTCAGAATTCCAATGGGCTTTGTGTACCTTGCTCTGAATTGTAGCTTGCTCTGAATTGTGTGTGGTATTGGAACATCTGCAATTGGAATGTCAGGCAGTATTCTTGTCTGTTGTATTAACTATGACAACCCATCTTTTATGGTGTTCAGATTGTCAGTAATTTTGAACAATTAATAACTGATATGTCATTAAAACGGAAAGTTTTCAAAATATTTTAACATGCATTATCTTATTTAGACTTCACTGTAACTCTGTGTGGTAGTTTTCTAAAATCCTCATTATAGAAGTAAAGAATCTGTCCAAGGATGATGGATTATACTGATCACAGGGAGTAAATGGTAGAGGGCCTGGGGCTTGAATTCAGGTTACCTGACTTCTAATTTAGTACTTTCTTCACCACACATTTTTTCTCCTTTTCTCTTGTGGATTTTGTTTATCTCAGAATTTTCTTAAATACTGTGTTATCCAGTGTACAGGAGGCAATGGCACGTAACTCAAAGAAATTGATCTTTTAATATAAACTGTATCTGTGTTCTGCCCTAACTCTAGTCAAGAAGAAAGCTTTACTGAGTTTAAAGTTGTCTCCGCTCAATTCAATTATAATCTGCCCTTCAACTTAATAATTCTAGGATCTTAAAGCAAAATATACAGCCTTTCCTTTATGATTTTTTTTATAGATTCCTACTTGAAGAAGAATGAGGTAGCACTCATTTCAGATTTATTATCATTTTAAACAATAAGCTTCCTAGTTACGGGGATATTCATGAAAATATTATAAATAATGGCTATTTGTAGCACTTGAAGGGCTTTATTAATAAGTTATGTCAAGCCATCTAATGCATTTTCCTCAGAGTTATTATTCACCAACACTTTATAGATTAGATTTCTGTTTTTATATTGCTTTTGAAATGTGGTAGGATTCTTATACTCAGGGAAATATTCTTTTGTTTCTCTGTTCAGTTTACCTGACGGTATCATTTACTCAGTTCAGGTATCATTTCCATGTAAAATTTACACACTGGAATTTGTAGTCATTATAAAATAATTGTCTCTATGGCTTCAAAACTGCCCTTTTGATTTCTAGGATCACTCATTTGCTTTCTTCTTATTGTAAACAATCAGATATATTATTTGTATCTGGCTAATTGTTTATCATAACTTGATTTTGCTTCTTCAATTATATTTGTTTGCAGCTCAGGAAAATATATACAATATGTTCTAAGTGTCTAAGACTATTTTTCTTGGGATAATTAACTTGTCTTGATTAGTTTTAAAATAAATGGCCTTCAAATTCAGGATATTTCACTCTACCTTTGCATCCTCTCTTGATTTGCCTTCAGGATATCACCAGTGGAATGTCCTACTCCCAACTGAGGTTTTGTGGGCTTGAAAATAGGGTTCAGTTTCTCTTCCTTACAAAATAGGCACCCTTTCTAACTACCCAGACTTACCATCTTTACAAGATCTCAGGGCTTCCGCTTTGCTGAGATTCGGTGCTCCTTTCCCCCTTTGCATCCTGCATTTAGTTGGTGACCAGCTTTGGTGCTGGATGCTGAATTCTGTCTATGCCCTTTGTCCCCAAATTCATATGTTGAATTCCTAACTCCCTCTACCTCAGAATGTGACTGTATTTTGAGATCCCATCTTTCAAGAGGCAGTTAAGACTAAATAGAACCATCAGGGGGGCACTAATCCAATATGACCAGTGTCCTAATGAGAAGAGGAAATGAAGACACAGACGTACACAGAGGGAAGACCATGTGAAGATGGTCTTCTAGACAGGAGAAGATGGCCATCTATAAGCCAAGGAGACAAGCTCTCAGGAAAAACGAACATAGCCGATATCTTGATCTTGGACTTCTAGCCTCCAAAACTAGAGGAAATACATTTCTGCTGTTTAAGCTGCCCAGGCTGTGATGCTATGTCATGGGAGCTATAGCACACTAGTACACTTGGCAGTTCTCTGTAGGGTCTCTTGAATTTGGACCAGCTGAAGGGTGTATTTTGATTATTTATTATTACTTTATTTATAGAGTATCTAAAACAGCACTACATTTTACGTACTTTGGCCTAATTGAGAGATCAGTTATTTTGGAAAAAAAATTATTTGTTCTGTGATTCTCAGTTTAGAAGTAACCTCCTTGAGGAACTCGTTCTTTAGGCTCCTTTGCACTTAGTGCTTGTCCCAATTACAGCACTTAATTACACTTATCACACTAATTACAATTGTATATTTTATCACTTCTCTCTCATACCCACTAGCTTGTAAATCCCTAAGGTCAGGGATTGATTTTTAAACATTATTATATTCATACCACTTAGCATAGTGCCTGACATGAAGAATGTGCTCAATAAATATTTATGAATAAATTACTCTATATTAGTATCAGTCAGGATGCTGAGATTTTTACAGTAACAATCTCCAAGTATCAATGTCTTAAAACATCAAAAATTTCTTTCTTGCTTATGATACATATTCATTGTGGTTCTACTGGAGGCTCTGCTCTGTCTTATCCTCACTGCTGGGTCTGGGTTCTGGGAGCAGCCCACCACTTAGGGTATTGCCTGTCACTGTGGCAGAGGGAAAAGGACAGCATGGTGAGTCTTGTGGCAGCTCATAAGTCTTCGGCAGCTATTGTTTCTGGTCATATATCCTTGATCAGAGCAATTCACATAGCCACATATGATGTCAATGAGGGGAGGGAATTGCCATCCTATCATGTGCCAGGAGTAGAGAAAAGCCGGAGATATTTGTGAACAGCATTAGTGACTGCCAGAACTCCCATACATGGTATATTGTTTCATTTATGATTTGCTCTTTTTGTTTTGCTTTTTTTTTTTTTTTTGATATAGAGTCTCACTCTGTCACCTAGGCTGGAGTGCAGTGGCACAATCTTGGCTCACTGCAACCTCTGCCTCCTGTGTTTAAAGGATTATTGTGCCTTAACCTCATAAATATATTAGTGTCTGTGGTATTCATGGATTTAATCTCTGGTTGGTATAGAAGTGCATGGTTGTGGGTTATTACTATGTAACTGCTTCATTATTTAATATAAAGTCCTTACAAGAGAACCAACTATGTGTGATCTCAAATTACTGTTTTTTTCTGTCAAAACATAACTTCTTCCAATATAGATGACCCTGATGTTGTTGAGAAACCTGAAAATATCATACCCTTTCTAAGCAAGCCAATATGAATCTATAGTGAATCATTCACCGTTATCAAGTGGGATTTATTCCTGGGATGCAAGGATGGTTCAACATAAGCAAATCAACAACTGTGATATATCACATTAACAGAATGAAGAACAAAACCGTATGATCATCTCAGTAGATGCAGAAAAACATTTGACAAAATTCAACATCATTTTATGATGAAAGCTCTAAAAAAAATTAGGCACAGAAAGAATGCACCTCAACACACAATAAAGGCCATATATTAAAAGGCTGTACTAACATCATACTCAGTAAGAGTGGAAAGCTTTCTTTCTAACATCAGGAATAATATGAGGATATTCACTCATGCCATTTCTATTCAATATAGTCCTTGTCCAGAGCAATTAGGCAAGACAAAGAAAAGGCATCCCAATAGGAAAGGAAGAAGTGAAATTGTTTGTTAGCTGATGACGTGATCTTATACATAGAAAACCCTGAATACTCCACCAAAAACTGTTGGAACTGATAAAGGAATTCAGTAAAGTCTCAGGGTACAAAATCAATACACAAAAATCAGTAGCGTTTCTTTAGCAACAACGAGCTGTCTGAAAAGGAAATTAAGAAATCAGTCCCATTCACAGTAGCATTAAAAAAAACTAAAAATAAGTTTAATCAAGGAGGTGAAAGATATGTATACTAAAAACTAAAAGACATTAATGAAAGGAATTAAAGGTTATACAAATAAATGGAGAAATATTCTGTGTTTATGGGTGGGAAGAATTAATATTGTTAAAATGCCCATACCACTGAAAGCGATACAGAGTTAATGTAATCCCTATCAAAACTGCAATGTTATTTTTCACAGATCTAGAAAAATAATCTTAAAATGTATATGGAACCACAAAAAACCCTGAGGAGCCAAAGCAATTTTGAGCAAAAAATCAAAACTAGATGTATCACACTACCTGACATCAAAACCTATTACAAAGCTATAGTTCTCAAAGCAGCATGATATTGGAATAAAAACAGACACATCCACCAATGAACAGAATATATAGCCCAGAAATAAATTAATGCATTTATAGTCAATTGATTTTCAATATGGTGCCAAGAATACACATGGAGAAAGGACAGTCTCTGCAATAAATCATGTTGGAAACATTGGATATCCACATTCAGAAGAATGAAATAGATCTCATGCCATATAAAAAAATCAACTCAAAATGAATTAAAGACTTAAACATAAGATATAAATTGTAAAATTACTAGAAGAAAACATGGAGAAAAATTCATGTTTTCTTGAGTTTGACCCCAAAAGCACAGACAACAACAGCAAAGATAAACAAATGAGATTACATCAAACTAAAAAGCTTCTGCATAGCCAAGGAAACAGTTAATAGAGTGAAGAGATAATCCATAGATTGGGAGAAAACATTTGCAAATCATACATCTGATAAGGGGCTGATATCCAAAATATATAAGGAACTCAACTCAATCACAAGAAAACAAATAACCCAATTGAAAAAAATGGCGAAGGACCTAAATAGGCATTTCTTAAAAGAAGATACAAATGACCAACAGATACATGAAAAAACACTCAGCATCACTGATTGTCAGGGAAATGAAAATCAAACCAAAGGGAGCTATCACCTGTTGGTATGGCTATTACCAAAAAGATAAAAGATAACAAGTGTTGAAGAGACTATGGAGGAAAGGGTACCCTTCTACATTGTTGGTGGGAATGTAAATTAATATAGCCATTAGGGAAAAAAGTATGTTGGTTCCTCAAAAAACTAAAAATAGGATTACCATATGATTCAGCAATCTTATTTCTGGGTGTATATCCAAAGGAATTGACATCAGTGTGTTGAAGAAGTATCTGCACTCCCATGTTCATTGTAGCATTATTCATAATAGCTAAATATGAAAGCAACCTAAGTGTTCAACAACAGATGAATGGATAAAGAAAATGTTATGTAAACACACACACACACATACATACACACACACACACACACACACACACAATAGAGTATTCAGCCTTAAAAAAGAAGGGAATTCTGTCATTTGCAGCAACGTGGATGAACCTGAAGGACATTATGCTAAGTGAAATAAGCTAGGCACAGAAAGATCAGTGCCACATGCTCTCACTTATGTGGAATCTAAAAAAGTTGAACTGAGAGCAGTTGAGAGTAGAATGATGATTACCAAAGGTTGGGAGTGGTCAGGGAAATGGGAGCTGTTGATTCAAGGGTAAAAAGTTTCAGTTACAGAGTAGGAAAAAGATGTAGTAATCTATTGCATGGAATGGTGACTGTAATTAATTACAATGCATTGCATATTTTGAAATGGCTTAAAGATTGTATTTTAAATCTTCTCACCACAAAAAAATTGATGAGTATGTGAGATGACGGAATTGCTTGATTTAATCATTCATAATGGAAACATATATCAAAATATCATATTGTACCACATAAATGCATACAATTATTGCCAACTAAAACAAAATGTAATTTAAAAATCCACAGTGAAAAAAAATTTGAGTATGCATATATTTAAAATATGTGCATGGGAAAAACTACCCTCAAATATTCAAACCAAATGATATTCTGAGAAGAATATTTGTATTACACAGGGTAGACAAAGAGTTATATAACTAGTATGCAGAGAGATTTCATAAAATAATAAGAGGAACTACAGTCCATCACGAAAATTAGGAAAGGTATGAACAGGTCATTCATGTGCAGGCTCACACACACGTGCATGTACACACACAGCCAACGAACTAAGGAAAGACACTAACAGCGCTGATGACCATGGGGGAAATGAGCATTCCTAGACACTGTTAGTAAAGTGTAGAATGGTATAAGCCTTTGTGGGTAATGTCTTGGCATACATTTTAAAATTTTAAATGTTTATATATTTTGACCTAGCCACCCAAGTTTTTGAAATCTATTACCTAGAAAGAAGAGGGAAACTCATTGCAGCGCTGTTTATAAAAGCAAAAAATTAGAAGCAAGTTAAATACCTCTCAGTAAGGGAAAAGTGTATCCATAAAGTGGAACAGTATGCATATATTAGAAAAAGGAGGAAATAATAAAGTAATAACTAAGATTTATTGAGTGCTTACTATGTTCCATAGACAATTGTAAGTGCTCTTTTGAGAATAGGTTTGTAAATAAGAACAAGATAATATATACATGATATATTAAGTAAAAAATAAGGTTTCAGACCAATATGAAAATAAATACAATAAATAAATGTAAGTATAAATATATTATTGTAAAGGTCCAAATATTTATATTTTATGTATTTCTACATATAGATATATAAATATAGACATAGTTGTACAAATATAGGAAAAGTTGGGAAGGCTATACTCTGAAGTCTTAACAATGATTAAGTCTAGGTATTGGATTAGATGGGGGAGGCGTTTATTTCTTAATTATAGAACCAAGGGATTATGGGTAATTTTTACTTTTTTGTGTTTTTCAAATAAAAAAACAAATAAAAACATTTTGGTGGTGATGGTGCAGGAATAGTAGTGATTTGCTCCACCGTGGTAAACATAGCTTGATCTATGAATGTGGTTGTTGGCAGAAAATCTTGGAAGCAGAACTCTTCTTTGATGAAGTGGTCAGAGAGAACTGGATGTTCTCCTAATTGGGGAGCCTTAATTCTGTGTGTAATTTATAACTAAGAATACATTTGAATTTTTTCCCCTTTTTAAAAAACTTATAAGTTCATAGGTAGATGTGCAGGATGTGTAGGTTTGTTACATAGGTAAATGTGTGTCATGGGGGTTTGTTACACAGATTATTTCATCACCCAAAATACACTTTAACAATAGACAATAATTATTTCCCTTATTGAGATTGGCAGCCACCAGGGAAAGGGAAATTTTGGTAGTTACAATTGGGAAGATGAAGGATAGAGAGGTATATTTTGAGAAAAAAGTGTAGATGGGGTAGCAGTTTGGATTATTGTGGTGTCACATGAGGACTCTTATCCCAGGGGGGTTGGATAAAGTAGGTAGGGGTAAATGCTTTTTGATTACTTTTGCATACCTGTCTTTGGTTGTATTGGTTGTTTTGCCATGAAAGTAATTTAAAATTCTAGATTAACGATGCCTAAGTTCGAGTATTAGGTCTGATTTGGAGGGATCAAATTTTATTATCAGTGTTTACTTAGCAGTTTCACTTTGTCTAGCCCAGGACTTCCTTAATGTTTCTTTCCTTTCCATTCTTCCTTCAGAGTCACGGAGAAGAGGAGACAGCATGTGCAAGGGAATGAAGAAAAGGACCAAGACTATTTTCAAATCACCCATGGCACTACTAGAAAAGTATTTCAGCAAAAAGACTGGCTGATTTTATGATTCCTGTGTCCACCACACCCCTCTAATTTTTACATAGGTACCCCACATCTCTCCAGATTTCAGGAAGACTATTATTCTTTGACTTTAGCTTTCTGATGGGTTCACAAAAAGCTGTTAGTGTGCTGTTGGTCCAGCTTTTTTCTTGTTGCAAATATGAGAGCTACAGTTCTGAGATAAAACCACAGGTAAGTGTTATAATTTTAAGTAATTGAATACTAAAGTGATGCAGGTGAACTAAATTAGGTTAAGTAGTAAAGAAAACTAGACCGAAGTCTAAAAGATATATGATTAGAAAGGATACCTAAGCACTATAATTAAGAAAACAGCATCAGCAAAAAAAACCCACTCAGTTTTATAAAATGATTTTTGGCCGGGCACCAAAATCCCAGTACTTTGGGAGCCTGAGGCAGGCAGATCACGAAAGAGATAGAAACCATCCTAGCCAACATGGTGAAACCCCGTCTTTACTAAAAATACAAAAATTAGCTGGACGTGGTGGCACGCACCTGTAGTCCCACCTACTTGGGAGGCTGAGGCAGGAGAATCACTTGAACCCGGGAGGCGGAGGTTTCAGTGAGCCAAAATCATGCCACTGCACTCCAGCCTGGCAACAGAGTGAGACTGTGTCTCAAAAAAAAAAAAAAAAAAAAAAGATTTTTAGTTATTTGTCAGTATCTATGGAACATTTACTAAGTACAACATACCTTATTAAATGATTTGCCTACCTTTTAAAATGGAATCTTTTCAGCAACCCTCTGAAGTTCTTTTATTATTTCCATTATGAGGAAACTGAGGCACAAAGAATTTGAGTGACTTGCCCAAGGTCATACAACTAACAAATGTTGGAACTGAGACTCCAGTACAGGAAATCTGATTCTATAGTCTGTCTTTATTATATAAATAAAGTGAGACTATCACTTTTTCACATGTTAAAAGGAATCCAGTTGAACAAAGAAAGAACATGCTGTAAGAAATAGTTCAATAGCAGAAGATCCTTTAATAGTATGTGAAAGGAGAAATATTCTCATATTGATGAAAAGAAGAAAAGAATAGGAAACCTGTGAGGATTTTAGAGCACCCTGACCATCTGACCCAGGCAGACACTTCTAAGAGCTGCATGGAACTGTATCTAAGGTTGACAGGAATAAAACTGTCCATCTTATCTTACTTTTCTTGTACGTACCCTTGGACTCCTCTCTATTATTCACTGGCAACTCCAGTTCTTGAACTCTAAAAATTCCACCAATGCTATTTGAGCATTGAGAAAAGATACTTTTCATTTTAAGTTACATCTTCCCACTGTTTGTAGATGTTATGTGTATTCCATTGCTAAGGAATCATTCTCTTTGCCTGAGGAAAAAGACAGTTTAAAAATAACTTGTGTTGTGATTAGAAAAGTCTTTGTATACAGATACCTGAAAGAGAGAGAATGCACGGGCACTTGTATAACACATGATGGGTGATAGTTTTCAACTGTGCTTGGGGGGAAACATTTTGTTTTGTATAGAAATAAAGTGTAGACAAGAAAAAAAGGGATATGTTAATGTGAGGCATATTGGAATGTATTTAAGTATATCTGTTGTTAACAAACTGGATAAATCCACTAAATAGATAATATATAAAATTTACAGGTTGCAGGTGGCCATAGGTCCTCTTTTTTACCTGTTAGTGATGGTGGTAGAGGGGAAGGCAGGCATAGGGGAGTAAGGGAAATAGTATTTCCACCGGGAGAATTTTGAACCTGAAATGTAAGAAAAATTGTATTTTCTATTGATACCAGTTATGCTTCATACAGATATTGAGTAATTTTCAAGTTATTGGTTGTAAGGCCCTACTATAGTGTTGACTCTATACCCTTTACCATATGCCCAGTAAGGGGTGCATTTGGACATCTTAATGTGAGTCCAAGAATTCCAGGGAATTCAGGATATTTTGCAGCATCATTCTTTATTTCAAAGTCTAGTCTAGACTTTTAAATATTTGAATATATTGGACTGTAAACAAAACAACATCTTGTTGAAAAGAACAACCGTCTCCATGCAACCTGAATGGATGGAAGCAGTATTATCTTTAGTCCAAATCTGAAACAAAATCTGCTTCACTAAACTTTCTTGCAGACAAGCAGACTGCTTTGTTTGAAAATGTGAGATTGGAAAATCTGGCTGGAAGTTTTACCTTAAAATTTTTTCTTCCTATGGGGAGGGCATGGGCTCTCTGGTGACTCTTTGTTCTGGCAGCAGGAGGAAGGACATGGCGCTGGTGTCCCGGCTGGAGGAGCCAAGGGTTACCCGGTACCTTTTATTTTCACATTAAAACACTATAGAGGAAAGGATCTGGCTCTCCACCTTTTAATATTGCTCAGTCATTTCTTTTTACTTTTTGCTTCAGTGAGCACAGTATGTGGTTTGCTAGGGAAGCTATTAAAAAGAAAACCCTTCAGTTTTATGGATTTTGGCAAAATCTATAGTCAATGCATGTTTTTTAATTCCTTCACAACTACTCTAATTCTCTAAACCTTGGTGAGGGCATGCTCAAAAATTGGCTCATAATTTGTAATTTAACAAGTGACAGAATGTTTTGACATTAGCAAATGAAGGGAAATGTTTTATATAACAAACCATGATCATGGCTTTCCAGTTTGGTCATTTGTACTGAGCAGATTGTCACAATCAAAGCCCGGGCCATTAGAAGCCTAGGCCAGTTTTGTTGAAAGTTTCTGGGTAACTAAGATCATTCAGGCTTGGCCTTGGAGTATATTTAGATTAAAGTGGTTATCCCCTCTTTGTGTTCAGAATGCCCACCCCTCTCCCATCTTTCTTTTTGCTCTAACTTATAAACTTGTTTGCATGTGTATTTATAATTTGTAGTCTATATTCACCTCTGGGTTTTAACTTCCTGCATTTCATTTCTTAAGAATCCTTCTCAGCATTTCACCATCTCCTAAGTGTTAGTGAGTAAAGGATAGCAAGAAACTTGACAGAGAAGGTGCTAGTGGGTCAGGGAAAAGTCCAGTGTAGAGGCTATAGTCTTATGGGATGGTAGAGGCCATACTTCTGGTGACTGTATTCATCATCCACTTGGATTCTCTCTCGCACAAAGTCTGATTTAGGGTAGATAGTGTCATCTTTTAGTTGGCTTAGAAAAGCTTGACCCCAAATGTACTCTGAGAAGTCCTTAAAAAGAAATGTATAATAATCCAGTAATTCTCTAGATAGGAAACTTAAAATTCTGTAGGAAGTATGTGTAACATACAGAAATAAGTGAAGTGGATGACAATGAAACTAACATTGCTTTTTAAATCACTGTATGTGCATAAAATACACATGCATAAATAAGGCCCACTGGCTGGCTGAGTATGACTCATGTTTTATACTCATTTTGTTTTCTTGAAATAAGAAAGCTTAACTGGGTAATAAAGCTCCCTCTCTTCTGGTCCCTGAGAAACCAACCTCCCAGCTGCAGGTCCCATTTTTAGCTTGGACAAATCTCATCTTATTTAACCAATCTTTCCATAAGTGGCTGAGTTGAGGAAGTTATTACTTTCTGTGGTCTAAATTGCCTAACAGAAAGTCGTTTTACCTAAATCCTAGGACCCCTGTGGGAAAATCCCAATTGGTTACTGTGCTTGTAAACTAAATATAGTTTAGTTTTGTCTGTCTCCTCCTTATAAGCAGAACTAGTTTTAAGATCTTCACTCACATCACCTTAAACTTGAAAATTTCCTGTTTGTTATTGCGAGAAAAGCAACTCAATTCTCCTATTTCTTTTTTTTATTTATTTTTTATTATACTTTAAGTTCTAGGGTACATGTGGATAACGTGCAGGTGTTACATATGTATACTTGTGCCATGTTGGTGTGCTGCACCCATCAACTCGTCAGCACTCACAACTCGTCATTTACATCAGGTATAACTCCCAATGCAAACCCTCCCCCCTCCCCCCTCCCCATGACAGGCCCCCGTGTATGATGTTCCCCTTCCCGAGTCCAAGTGATCTCATTGTTCAGTTCCCACCTATGAGTGAGAACATGCGGTGTTTGGTTTTCTGTTCTTGCGATAGTTTGCTGAGAATGATGGTTTCCAGCTGCATCCATGTCCCTACAAAGGACACAAACTCATCCTTTTTTATGGCTGCATAGTATTCCATGGTGTATATGTGCCACATTTTCTTAATCCAGTCTGTCACTGATGGACATTTGGGTTGATTCCAAGTCTTTGCTATGGTGAATACTGCCGCAATAAACATAAGTGTAAATATTGTTAGAAAGGGTCTGCTGTTGGATACAATTCAATTCCTAGGACTGTTGTGGGGAAATCTGAATGAATATGTTGCATATTGACCTAGAAATATATTGTAAAACGTGATTTATTTGCAAAGAAGATCTGAAATTCTGTGGTATTCGTCAGATATTGCTCCTTTTGTAAACATTAAAAGCCACACATCTTTTTTTCTTGTCAATTGAATACTTAAGAGGATTGTATAATAATTATCCTTTAAAAACTGGATTAATATTTAACTGTGTTCAGTAAAATTAATTGGAAGCTTCTACAATTCAGGCACAGATAGTTGTCCAAGTAAACTGCAAAGGCTCCATGTTGCAAAATTATTTAAGCATATAATAATTATACCTTTCACTTGTGTATGACACTTTACAGATAACTCACTATTAATAAGTATTTTTTAAGGTAATAATAAGTACATTCTGCTTTTATTGTTATAAATAAGCCTTCTCGTTCCCCATAAGAGAGCTTATTATTATCCCCTTAATATGGAAGAGTAAATGGAGGCAAAGACTGAGCATTAATTGTAGGACTGTCATCTATCTAAGCTGATTAGTATATGGTGAAGGGATTAATATCTCTGAATAGATTATAATTTTGATATCTATGACTTATCTCTAATAATATTTCTTAACCATATCAGCAAAATGGAATCATTTGCAGTTAAAAAATACCCTTGTAATGGCTTTAAAACATGACCAATCGATTCTCTGATACTCTTTCATTAAGGATCTTTGTCCCTTTTCCTTGAATTAGGGCCTTGTGACTGTTTGACTAATAGAACACAATGAAAGTCCCACTGTGCCCATTTCTGGCTTGGGCTTTAAGAAGCTAGCAGCTTCTATTTCCTATCTTAGGATAATTGCTCTTGGAACCCAGCTATCATGCCACAAGGAAACCTAAGCAGCCAGTGCAAAACCCCTCATGGTGACCTGCACATAGCTCTAGTTGAACTTCTAGTTGATAGCCAGCTCCCACTTGCCAGCCATATGAGTGAGTCATCTTGAAAGCAGGTCCTCTAGCCCTCCCTCAGTTGAGCTGCCCTTGATAACATTGTGTGGAGCACAGGTTAATGATTCCTGTGGACTTCCTCGCCTCTTCTCCGTCTTGAACGGCCAAGATAAAATCGCAGTTTCTGTTTTTAAAGCCACTAAATTTTTGAGGTGACTTCTTTTTTTTTCTTTTTTGCGAGACACAGTTCTCACTCTGTTTGTCCAGGCTGGAGTGCCAGTGGTGTAACTTGGCCACTGCAACTCCGCCGTCCTGGGTGGAAAGGATTTTGCTGCCGTCAGCCGTTCCCAAGTAGCTGGGATTACAGGCACTGCTACCGATGCTGGGCTCAAATTTTTGGTATTTCAGTAGAGATGGAGCTTTCGACCATGTTGGTCAGGGCTTGGGTCGCTGAGATTCCGCCTGAGCCTCAACCCATGATCGTGCGCGCTCCCACAGAGTGTTGGGAATTACAGCGTGTGAGCACTACACGCCCGGCCCTGAACTGGTGATGTTTTAATGCAAAATAGACAACCTGGAGCAGTGCTTAAGGAAATGGCCAAGTGCTTCCAGCTCCTTCTTCTCTTCTTCTTCGATGTAGCCAAGGCTGGTGCTTGCTCTGTGCAGTTTAACTCTGGAGTGGCTACAGTGGGCTTTGGAAGAGACAAGAAGTGAACACAACAGCGCTTTCCAGGGAGCAGGCTCGGAGTTCTTAGTCAATATTGCGTGTCCCGGGGTCTGCTGCTTGCTTTGTCGGGATGATGCCTCATAGCCCTGTAATCTAATGTTACTGAGCACCGGCTACTGAAGTGCAATCGCACGCAAGTTGTTAGCTCTAAACGGGGGCCCAGCTTTGCTGTTTCTTCTTTTGTTTTTTTTGAGACGAGTCTCGCTCTGTTGTTTTTTTTTTTTTTTTCTTTTGTTTTCTGTTTTTTTTTTTTTTTTTTTATTTCGTACCTGACGGCTGGAGTGCAGTGGCCGCGAGATGCTCAGCTCACTGCCAACTTCCGGCCTCCGCGGTTGGTACGCGCATTCTGCCTGCCTCAGCCTCCCCGGTAGCTGGCGACTACAGGGCGTCCGCCACGTCGTCCTGTGCTGAGGCTCTGCGCGGCCATAGTTTTGTTGTATTTTTGTTAGTAGCAGACGGGTTTCACCACGCTTAGCCAGCAGCGTTCTCGCATCTCCTGACCTTTGGTGCATTCCGCTCGCCGTGGCCACCTCCCAAAGTTGCCTGGGATTACAGGCTTGAGCCCAGCGGCGCGCCGGCCCAGCTTGCGTGGTTTCTAGGTTCTGCTTGGAGCTTTGACATAAACCCACCATTTGGAGCATCGACAGCATATCGTATACTGAGCTAAAGCTATTTCCCATTTCTATGCGTTCTGTGGTAAAAGTAGGAGGGCGTGGAAAATGCTTCTTCAGGTCCTTCCAGCTCAACAATATTTTTTTAATGTCCTGTATATATTCTAAATATGTATACTTTAAAACTTTAGCTGCTCCACTTGAAAATCTAAATTTTTATTGTCCCCCTCAAAGGACTCCTTGCTTCATTATCTAATATTTTTCCCTTTGAAGAGAGTATTTCATTCCTAAGAGGGGTTTAAAAGAAGTTTCACCTGGTCTGAACCCAATGCTCTCCAAATGACAGTTCTCTAACCTAAATTTTAAAACACAAGCAAAAAAGGACTGAGAAGCTGAGATGAGGAAGCTCTGTTGGGCAAGTCAAAATGGGGCCAATAATATTTACTTCACAGGGTTATTAAAAGAGATAACATATGTAAAGCTCATAGTTCAGAGCCTGACACTTAACAGATACTCAACAAGGGATGTTCTTATTCTTTTTTTCTTGAGAAGCAAGCTAGACTAATCATTTGAAATGTAAAATTTTGTTCATGGAATTGTATATCTTTTTATTTCTACAACTGTTTCTGTAGTCTTAAATGCCCTGCATTAAAAGATTGTTGTTTAATATATTGTACCTCTTTTGTCATCTGTTTGTTAAATATTGGCTGCCTGGTCTCTGATTTTGCTAAACTTGACTCTTTTTTTAAAAAAATGTAATTGTTTTCTCCAAGAATATAAGCCAACATTATAAAGGATGATTTACTCTAAGATAATGCTGAAAGAGATGTGATATGAAATTTTATTAAATTTGTAAGATAAATTTGGGATATTCTTTTACTGGACAAACTTTTTATTAAGAACATATTGTTTCCTGAAACACTAAGTTTTGGGATAAGTTTTTAAAACAAATTTCGGAGTGGCTTAGTTGGGTGTTTCTCACCTGGATTTCTCATGAGATTGTAAACAAGATGCTGGCCAAAGCTCCAGTCACTTGATAGCTTGTCTCGGGGTTGGGGGATTTGCTTCCATTGGTTCATTCATGTTCAGGCAAGCTGGTGCTGGCAATTGTCAGGAGACACCAGTTTCTGGTCATGTGGATCTCTTCACAGGAAGGCTTCAATGCTTTTATGACATGGCATTTGACTTGCTCTAAGATGAGTGATCTAAGAGAGAGGAAGAAGGAACCCACAATGTATTTTGTGATCTAGACATGTAAGTCAAACTCTGCCACAATTTAAATATCTTACTAGTTACACAGATCAGCCTTATTCACTGTGGGAGGAGACCACACACCAGCTTGAATACCGAGAAGTGAGAATCATTGTGGATGATCTTGGATGATAGTTACTCCCATATTAGGATTCTTCTGGCTTAGGCTTATTTCTCTTATCTTTGAATGCATTCTCTGTGAGTGAACAAGCCCATTTGCATCTGTAGATTCACATACCACCTTTATGCCTAATTATTTCCAAATATATAAGTAAGCCCAGATTTCTCTTCTGTTCTTCAGATCCCAATGCATAATACTTACATTTTATCCATCCCTCCAACTGGTATCTCCTGAGTAGCCACTGGAAACCCAGCCTTAAACTAGTCTAGATAAATAGGGCAGGCCTTCAGCCCTCATGGAACTTACAGTTTAGTGAAGCAGGAAGAAAGTAAACATGTAAATAAAGAAAATATTTACAGCTAGTGGTAAGTTTAGTCAAAGAAATATACTGTTGTAATAATGATGGGGGAGCATGTGATAGAAGAGGAGAGAGTTGGCTAGTTTAGATGAAGTGGGCAAAGAAGAACTCTTTGAAGAAGTGATATTTAAGTTGAGACCTGAGAGATAAGATTTGAAAGATCGAAAAGAAACTATTCCAGGCACTGAGAACAGCAAGTACAAAGGCTCTGAGGCAAGGAAGAGAATGGTGAGATCTAGAAACTGTCAAAATTACTGTTGCTGGAGCACTATGAGTGAGAGAGAGAATGGCAAGAGATAAGATTGATGAGATAGGCAATAACTAGAACACTTACACAGGCCTTAAACTATGCAAGGGGTTTTGAGTACAATATGAAGAAAGGGATTTTAAGCAGATCCAGTTCTATGGGATATATGATGGAATGAGTCTGTAGGTAAACCCATTTTTCTCTTGTCTCCCACTCCATATTGCTGATTCTCCAATATTTCCTGCATAACTGAATAGCAGTACCATCCACAA